CTCTAATTCAGCATTTTCCACTTTAGAAAGGAGAATAATGGTAATATCACTATTTGGGTCATCATCAACATCAGAGTCCTCATCGAGCTAGCTCAAAACAATGGCAATAAGTAAAATGATTTGCCTTTTCAGCATCATGAACATGAAAGCTCATATTAGAGGACATAGAGAGAGGTTATTTGTTTTCTCTCCAAGTACTTCTTTATTTAGATTTAAATTAGATTTAGATTACATAAGAGAGTTGGGCTAGACACACAAAGGAGATAGAAAAGAACTATAGGCCTAAACACTATGGGCCTACGTTTTTATAATGGGCTCCTATATAATGGGGGTCTTATTGAAAAAGATTTTGTCATTTTGTGTATGAGAAATGTTGTGTATTTAAATAAAACTATGGACTTGGGTTTTTATAATAGGCTCATTTTGAAGAGATTTTGTCATTTTGTGTACAAGAGATGTTCTATACTTAAATAAAATAGTGTTCGCAAGCCAATTTCGTCCCACATATATTTCCAAATATATATTTTCTAATTACTCACATTGGAAACACAAACATGTCCTTTGCCACCATTCGCCATCACCATCACCATCGTACACTCCCTTGTCGTACTGCTTCCCTTTCCCCTTGTAAGACCTCGTTACCCACAAGCAAACCTTTTAGGTGATTATAAATCAAATCAAACTAATAATTTTATTTTTTAATTATTTATTTCTCATTTCTTTTACTAATCAAACAATCTATCACTTTTTACATAAACAATCTATTACCAATTTCTTAATAATTTTTTTCCAGCAAGATGGATATGCCACATGATGAGTCAAGGGGTTGTATTGTTGCTTTTGACCCTATGCACTTAACTCAAGAGCAATAGAAAGAGTCTCTAGGACTTAAGGCTATTGTGGATAAGGCCAATGACAAGGTGATCTACATATCTAAATTCATAGATAAGGACTTCACTTGTCATGTTTATTGATGGAGCTTGTAGACTCATCATATTGTGTTTGAACAAGATTTCATGGTATTAGCTAAAAGCTGTCCCAAACAAAAGGATTTCATTTACTACAACATCTTCAATCATGTTGTGTATAAGAAATGTTGTGTACTTAAATAGAACTTTGGGCTTATGTTTTTATAATGGGCTCTTGATCATGTACATCATGGTGACAAGCCACTTGATCCTAATCCAAATCCAAATCTAAGAAAGCACGATTTTGTATCCACCTCTCAATGTCTTGAATATCATCCTAAACCCCAATTTAAAGGGATAGATGTTGTAGAAGCAACTTGATATGGGATATTGCACATGGTGGTATAAAAGTCCAGTTTACCTTGGGAGGGAATTATGTAAAGTACAAAAATTAAAAAAGAAATTTCCTTTGTGAAAGGAATAGCTCCACAATACATT